GCCGGGCGGGGGCGGCCGCCGCGCCTCCCCTCCCCCTGCACACGCCGGGGCTTCTCAGTGGCCGCCCGAGGAGGAAGTTCCGCTCCCCGCCAGACCCGTGCTCTAGCAACAGCGGCGGCGGCAGCGGCGGCTGCGAGGGCGCAGGCATTTGGGGCGCGAATGCCCTTCGCGCCGGCCGTCGAGGGGGCAGCGGCGGAGCTCTCCCCGAAGCGTGGAGCCTGGGGGCGGTGTCGGGAGGCGCGGGCGTGCAAGACTCCCTTCCCGCGGCTTCGCCCGGCGCCGCCGCTTCGCCTTCCCGGCGAGGCGGGAGACCTCTTTACTTCCCTGTTGGCAGACTTCCGAGGAGCCCCTTATTTTTCCACCACCGAGGTGAAGAGGTTCTGGAATCGAAGCGTCAGAGGTGGTTAAGTGCACCTTCTGCAACTCCTCGGATCTGGTCAGTCTCCCTTTGGGGCGGGAGACCACATTGGAGCATCTCACTGGGGTGCAGGAATGGAAGACCCCACCTTGCATCCTTTCTGCAGTGTTGCTTGCCTCATCTACTCTTAGGAATGAAGAGGAGACTTGTGATAACCCGATGAGGTACTGAAAACCAAATGGCAGAGAAAATATTACAGGACACAAACTAGTGATCGTGTGGGGGCCACGCTCGTTTCTGAATGTAATTGGACGAGCGTGAAAAAGGTGCCCTATTAAAAAGCACAGGAGTCCTTTAAGAGGAACAAAATTGAGTTTTTCCATTTTTTTGCCAAGATTTTGGAGACTGTTCAATGTATTGTACGTCTGATATAAGATGAGAACTTTGTAAGATATTCTGTTCAAGAGCGTAAACGATGACTACCCCGGCCCTGCTGCCCTTATCTGGACGAAGGATACCACCTCTGAACCTGGGGCCGCCTTCCTTCCCACATCACAGGGCTACCTTGAGACTTTCCGAGAAGTTTATCCTCCTCCTTATTCTAAGTGCCTTCATCACCCTGTGTTTTGGGGCATTCTTCTTCCTTCCAGACTCTTCAAAACACAAACGCTTTGATCTGGGTTTGGAAGATGTGTTAATTCCTCATGTAGATGCCAGCAAAGGGGCTAAAAACCCTGGAGTCTTCCTGATCCATGGACCTGATGAACATAGACACAGGTTTGTTTATTTCAGAAGTTTTGGTATTAACATTTGGCAGAGCAGGGCATGGTTTATTGCATCAAATCTGTCTTATTTTTTTTTTTTTTTTTAGTAAGATGTAATTTTCCCTGAGTCGTTAAGAGTTGTAGTTATTTCAAAACTGGTGGAATAAAACCATGGACTGGAAGGGCTCCTAGAGCCCCATTTAAAGTGCAGCTCCTTTGTTTTATATAGGAGAAACCTTTGAGCTCAGCGATATTAGGTCTGATGTGAAAAATTGGGAGGTAGGAAAATTTAATCTAAAGAAATGATTACCTATGCTGCGTCTTCATTTATTAGAATGTGTTGCATTCAGTAATAGTGCACCCTATGAAATAGACCCATTGAATCCTTCCAGCTTCTATGAGTTCTCTTCCAAAGGGCTCTTATTCTCTAGCTTGTAGTTAAAGATCAGTAATGAATCTTACCTTTTTAGAAAGACAAACTATGGACAGAATATACCTGTCCTTTCTTAGCATACAAAAATACCCTGATTTATTTTCAGGGGATCTGTTTTGGTATTCCATGTGGAAATCAGTTAGGTTAAAAATATCATTGAATCTTACAGTCATTTCACTTTGTGTCTTGTAGAAAGATTTGGTTATGTTTTTAAATTTTTTATTATTTTTTTAATATGTGGGTTGGAGTGTGTCAAGTAACTTTTGCAATATGGTTGATGAAAGGGTTCACATTCTTTCAAATCACCAAATTTGAGGAGAGCTGTTGGGTGAGTAGAGCCAAATTAGGATAAAATAGGAGCTCTAGTGTTTCTCTCTTTAAATCATTTATGCAATTTGTGTCAAAAGAAGAGTTTGGGAAAGTAGTTTACTTTTCTCAAACCTATATATATTTTTTTGACCTGCTAAGTTCCCTTTTTCCTGTTTCTTAAAGTAATTTTTGAGTATGTGAAAAAAACCAAACCAACCATGTACTTGAATTCTGTTTTCAACTGACATTAGTTTTCACTTTTTATGAAGCAGGAGTTGAAGAAGCTTAGGTTCATATGTGAGCCTACATTAAATACTTGGGATAATGCAATGTTGTAATGACAGCTGGTTTTTCCTTTTTCTCAATCTTGTTAATGCACTATTTGCTTCCCGATTCTTTGACTTTTGGCTGAACCTTGTGGTGTAGTTACTTCTAAAATTGTTTCAAGCCATTATTTTGTAACTAAATTTGGACTTTTTGCCATCATTTTCAACTTCTGTACTCTTTCGCATCAGTTTCTTTTATTTTTGCTCTTTGCTCTTTGTGACTTAGAGAAAAATCTGATCTGTGAAATATGTTGCTGAAAAATTAACACTGAAAGTACTGTTTTCCTGGAGAACCTTATTTCCCATGATTTTTATACAAGCTATGATAAATACTTGAGAATAAAGGGTGTTAAGACTGGCTTCAGATTTCTTTGAGAGCCACACATTAACATTACTGAACTCTGTTATTACACTAATCTGTCATGTACTAAACAGTTTATATTTTGTGTGGTCTAAAGGTTAAAAAATATACAGTATATGGCAACATTCTAGTTTAAAAACATTCATTAGAAAAATTCTCTCCGGGCGCCTGACTGGCTCAGTCATGCCTTGGCCTCAGGTCATGATCCCAGGGTCCTGGAATTGAGCCCCGCATCGGGCTCCCTGTTGAGCGGGGAGCCTGCTTCTCCCTCTCCCACTCCCCCTGCTTGTTCTCCCTCTCTCGCTGTGTCTGTCAAATAAATAAAATCTTTAAAAAAAAAAAATTCTCAGTTAAGTGTAGTTAAAATGTAAGATTTGAAAAAAAAAGATTTGAATGAGAATACAGGTATGTCCATCTTATTTACATTTTTAAAAAGCCTACTTAGATCTCTTAAACAAGAATTCTTTTTTTTTTTCCTAATATTTATTTATTTAATTGACAGAGACAGCGAGAGAGGGAACACAAGCAGGGGGAGTGGGAGAGGGAGAAGCAGGCTTCCCGCAGAACATGGAGCCCGATGCGGGGCTTGATCCCAGGACCCTGGGATCATGACCTGAGCTGAAGACAGACGCTTAACCGACTGAGCCACCCAGGCGCCCCTCTTAAACAAGAATTCTTAAGTTTATATAACCTGTGAATATTTTGCTTTGTGTATTGTTATCCAAACTATTGGGTTCCTGAGTTGGGAGCTTTGGTTGGTTATTGAGTTCTAATAGTAAGGGATTGTGAGCCAGATCCTGAGTTTTGGATAGTAAGAGCCCGGGTTGCAAATGATACATGTGAGAATTTATTCAAACTGCTTAGTTCCTGAATTTTGGAAAGCAAGGATTCAAATTGTGAGGGTTCCGGTGAAGAGGGATCCCTGTATTACCTCTTTACGTATTTCTGAGGTTATATCGGTTTATATTTGCTTGGTATGTTATCGGTTGTTGCTTATATCTGAAAGCACAATCTGTAGCAATTTCTAACATGGGCAATGAAGGACATTTCAAAATAGAGATCATTCAAATAATAAGTTTAAAATGGGAGACATAAAACATCAAGCTAATGTAGAAACATTAGCTCATTTCAAAATCATTCAGAAAGATAATATTTCAACAGGACTGGGTGGTGCTAAAATCATACCTATTTTGGGTGTGGTTCAAAAAAATCTTAATTTGAAAAATGCAAATTGATAATTTATCTTTATTTTGTGTATGTAGAAGGGTGCAGGGTAGAGGGATGAGGAACCTTACTTTAATGGATAAGTAATGGAACATGAATCATGGCCATTATTTCTTATTCACAGTATTTAAGGGGTACTTGTTGAATTGACTTTTCTTTATTAATGAGTTAATTTAGTATTATAGTTAGGTGCTTAAGTTCTACAGTCTTGACTGCATGGATTTATGCCCTCGTTTGTCACTGATTAGATGTATGATCTTGAAATTTTTAAACTCTGTGCCTAAGCTGCTTCCTCTGGATGACGTTGGCATCTACTTTACAGATTGTTGTAGTGAATGAGATAGTACATGTAAAGTGCTCAAAATATTTCCTAGTATTTAGTAAGTGCTCAGTAAAGATTAGCAGTTATTGTTACTGGTAATTATAGTTTTAATTGAATTATTTTAATTTTGAGACCACTTTAAATACTGTACATGTTTCTGAAAAGTTAGGAACAGATTAATATTTTAAAAGTATACTCAAACCTTGGTGTCTAAAGGAACATTTTATAACCAGAGTAGTTAGCAACAAATGTGTATTGCATGTCCACTGCGTGTCAGGCCCTGCTTTAATGGAGCTTCTCATCTAGGGGGATAATGGGCATTAAATAAATACATTTCTTTTCTTTTCTTTTTTTTTTTTTAAAGATTTTATTTATTTATTTATTTGACAGAGAGAGACACAGCGAGAGAGGGAACACAAGCAGGGGGAGTGGGAGAGGGAGAAGCAGGCTTCCCGCCGAGCTGGGAGCCCGATGCGGGGCTCCATCTGAGGACCCTGGGATCATGACCTGAGCCGAAGGCAGACGCTTAACAACTGAGCCACCCAGGTGCCCCTAAATACATACATTTATTTTCAAAGTGTGCTACGTGTTATGGAGTTGTACTCAGTGCTGTCAGGGCACATAATGGTGTGATTTATCCTGTGGATTGGGGTTGGGGGGGGCAGCCCATGGGAATAGGGAAGTTTTCATTGAGGAAGCAACGAATGGCTCAGATACTTAGAACAAGTAGATCGCTAAGTGAGGTAGAGATGTGGGAAAAAGTGATCAAAGCAGAGGACACCACATGTGTGAGAACCCTAAGAAAAAAGCCTGGCATCATTGAGGATCTGAGAAATGTTCAGTATGGCTGGTGTAGAGATTTAGCAGTGTGGGGCTAGGCAAAGAGACTACTATGAGAGGTCAGATTTGGCCTCCTTGTTGTTCAGAAAGTATGAGTTAGTTGCCGGCCTTCACATATCAGGAGATTTCACATGAAAGTCTGGACTTCTGATTTCTCTTGAAAAAATTGGAGGATCTGGCAACACCCAAATGGGTATTTTCAGATGGCAGCCCTGAGCTGGATCTGGGCACAATACTGGAGAGTCTAGTTAAGTTTTTGGTCTTTATCCTGAGTACTATGGGAAGTCAGTGAAGGGTTTTCATTAAAGCAAAGCAATGACATAATCATTTTTTAAAAATTTAAATAATCACTATGGTTGCATTGTAAACACTGGATTGGAGAGGAGCAGGAGGGCATGTGAAATTAGGAGAGGCTAGGCCACAGAAGAGATTGGCTTAGACCACAGTGGTGATAATGGAGAAGGAGAGAAATTAGTGGAGAAGAGTGGTTGATTCAAGAGATGTTAATGTGTTAAGTTTCACAGAAATTGATAGTTGATCAGATATGGGGGCTAAGGTAGGAGAGGAGAGAGTCCAGGATAACTGCCAGTTTCTGGGTGACATGCTTTGGATTACTAGGAAATATATACCATACGGAATTAATACTTTAATTTATATAATTGATAATACGTGAATTTGAGATAAAGTCTTTTCGTGAGAAAACCTGTATGTTCCCTTCTATTAAGTGGTTCACAAATAACCCATAGTTCTCAGATGATAATAATGTAAAGTGCGTGGTTTGATGTTGATGACAGTCATTTTTAGCATCTCTGATTTCAGGGTAACCAAAACAGGTATTGGTCGTAAAACACATGAATGTTGTTACAAGTATATACTGATACACATAAAGTATGTTCACAATTTATGTACATAATAGACCTAATTGAAATTTTACTTACTAATTTCTTTCATAATTCTTGAAACTGACATTTGTTTTATATAATGGCATTGTATAAATGGGCTTTGTGGTTTTGTTTTGTTTTTTAAATATTTATTTGAATTGCCAATAAGTTTCATCCTCTCGTCAGGATTTTGTTAGTGTAACTTGAATACTTGAAAATACGTTAACTTCTGATAGTTTCCTCAAACAGAAAGAACAGGCTTTGGAGTTAGAAGGACCTAAAGTTGCGTCTTGGTTTTACTAACTAGCTGTGAGACA